TTGCTTGATCAAATGGCAAGTCATGTCAAGCCATCTGGCTACAACCGTGTTACTTTAGCTATCAGGCTACAATCATGTGGGTGTAGCCTGTGGGCTACAGCGCAAACTGTTTGCATGAACAAAAGCAAGTCGTGTCAAGCTATATGGCTACAACCATATTAGTTTAGCCATCAACCTAAAATCATGAGGGTTTAGCCTGTGGGCTACAGCGCAAGCTGCTTGCATGATCAAAGCAAGTCGTGTCAAGCCAATGGCTACAACCATATTAGTTTAGCCATCAGCCTACTATATGGCTACAACCATGTTAGTTTAGCCATCAGCCTACAATCATGATGGGTTTAGCCTGCGGGCTACAGCGCAAGCTGCTTGCATGATCAAAGCAAGTCGTGTCAAGATATATGGCTACAACCGTATTAGTGTAGCCATCAGCCTACAATCATGTGGGTTTCGCCTGTGGGCGACAGCGCAAACTGTTTGCATGAACAAAAGCAAGTCGTGTCAACTCAAGTCATGTCAAGCCATTGGCTACAACCATGCTAGTTTAGACATCCGCCTACAATCATGATGGGTTTAGCGTGTGGGCTACTACGCCATGTAGCCAGTGGCTACAAGCATGTTAGCTGTGCCATCAGGCTACAATCAGGGCTACAGCGCAAACTGTTTGCTGGTCTTTGAGGGCTTAAACATTGGTCTACGACTGCCTTTTTCTGGCCAGCCACCTTTTTCATGGCCAACACCCACGTGCGCGAGGAAACACACCACCTATTCATTTCCACTGCTTGTCGTGTTCACGCAAACATTCACGCCTCCAAGTCTAGCCCAGGGTGTCCAACCTGTAGCGCGCATTCCTAGCCAAATCAACATTGCCTGGCCCGGCCATGGATCCACGTCCATGCCATATTTCCATCAGCAGATGATGAATTCAAGGGGCGCATGCACATGTTCCAGAAGAACAACTTTTCAGACGCCAACAAGCTTCCTGCACAACATCAAGAACCACTGAAAATCCATGTAAATTAGGCAGACTTGCCACTAAGGCTGAAAACCACATCGGCTGTGGAGGATACAAAGCCAGAGACCGAGCACAGCTTTCCAACGATGTAGCCCCCCAGCCAACTGTGAACATGAAGCATTATTGTCCTCCGCAACAGGGCTACAAACAAGAAGGCTGGTTTCAGTGGCAAGGCTCAGCCTCCAACCTTTGCAGCTGCCAAAACGACAAAGGGCAGTGGCTGCATGAAGAGGCCAGCTGCCAAAGTCATGGGCCAATGGCCACTACCAAAAGTGTCGCAAGCATTGCCAGCTTGAACGAGGGTGATGCCAAGCCCAATGCCAGGGCCAAAGCGGGCCAGATGTGTGGAACCAATGGATGGAGCAAAAGGCGTGCAAAAACAATTGCAGACGACGCACACCAAGAAGTATGCGTGCGGCTGTGTTCTGGCACTGCACGATTTGGACTGAAGCTTGCACTTTTAGCCTGAAGGCTCCACATGTCTCATGGGTTGGCAATGGCACACGCGGGCTTGGATTGAAAAAACATGTTAATGTTCTTGGGTCAGGCCTCAAGGCTGCACAAGTATGTGGACATTGGCACATGACATTCAGCATGAGACCGTCAAGCTTGTCCTGCTCCAACATCCATGCGGTTCAGACAATGAAGTTCGAACATTCGACCATATCGGAAATAATTTGCCATGATTTATTTGTGCTCCCAGCGCCAGATACATTCTCTGCATCGTCCTGCTCTCCAACTGCAACCCACCGAGAACATGCAGAAGTTTCTACAGCCCCGCTTTGAGCAGGAAGATGTGTGGGTGTGCCACACTGCTTGCCTGCAGCCAGCGCCAGTTCTTCAAGATGACGTGGTTTGTTGGTGGCCAGGTCCAAGTTGGACAAGTCCACACCCATGCCAACATTGGCGGTGCACTCAGCTTAGTGCGCAACTCAGAAGAAGTTTTCAGGGATAAACAATACTGGCGCGCTGTTTGCAAGATGGTAAACACATCACAAATTCTGCGCACCAGTTCAGGGCCCATGAATACAAAGGTCTTATCCCTTTGAGGGCTAGGTAAGCGCGCGTTGGCTGAATGGATTGAAATAAAGGGCTTGTCAGCAAGTTTCAGGGCTAGTCGTTCAAGCCTGGTGTTTGCTTGCGCGCAAGCCCCGTGTAAAGCGCTAGGCCTTCAGGCTACTGTTGGCTACGCCATGGCATATGCCAAGTTGTGAACCATCATCAAGCATCAAGGGGGCTACTTTGAAAAATCCCTCAGCTTGACAATATAGTGGGTAGCTATACGGCTAGGCCAAACATTGACGGCAGCCAAAGCCAAAGGCTTGGGCCAATGGCAAACACGGTTCTGACATTGACATGAACCTTCCTGCTTGGCACTGCACAGGAACAAGCCAGGCATCGTCTTCATGGGCTTCATATGGCCTTCCTTCACAGCCTCTGGCTTCTGGCCAGCTTTGCTTGGAAGCTGAAGGAGGAGCTTGCATTGGCAACTGCCATGTCATGGCTTGGCGGCTTGACTGCCATGCTATTAGCCTGGTGGCTTGACGTCACGCCACGTCTAGCCTGGTGGCTTGACTTCATGGTGTGTGGAAATAATGTGGCCACGTGGTTTGCTGCCCAAATGCACCTTTGCGAATTGGATTTTGCAGTGGCCAAATGGCTGCATGTTGAAGCCCTGCGGTTTAAAGCCAATTTGGCTGAGAAGGTTTGCATCGTGTACCTGAATCGATGGAACTTGATTTTGATAAGTGTCTAATGTGGAATGGTAGGGTAGCCATGGTAACCATTACTGACTTGCAAACCTGCATGAATCCAAGGGCTAGCGCGAGCATGCGACGAGCCATTTGCAGGCTACACCTTGCTTGCTTGCTTGCTTGCTTGCTTGCTTGCTTGCTTGCTTGCTTGCTTGCTTGCTTGCTTGCTTGCTTAATTGCTGAGAACATCAACATGAATGTGAAACATTCAAACTTGCGTGTGCCAAAGCATAAGACATCGTACAAACACAGAACTAAAAACACGGAAAGCAAACCCTCGCCAGCACAAACATCGCAGGTTCGCGGCACTTACATAACAAGTTAGCTGGAGCTAGCTGACCTTAGCTAAGCGGTTATCATAGATAGCTCTGCGTGTAGCTAACCACTTGGCTAAGCTTAGATAAAGTGTGATAAAAGATGACTTTACTAGCACACAGCTTTGGAGATTGCTAAGGTCTGGTAAATATTACACAGCCTACATCATGCAAGGACGTTACAACCAGCTGCAGGAAGCTTACACATCATTTGCGCAGCACGTGCAAGTGGCTTAAGTCTTTAGTAAACCCCGGCGCATCCCAGAAAACTGTTTTTTGCGCGTTTCGACAAACAATCCGGCGGGAATCAAACGGACTGCCGAATATGATACCAGAACGCTTTTCGAGGTCCGAAAAGCGAAAAAGGGCAACGAATTTCGGACTGCAAAATTCGCTTTCCTTCGCGCGTTTCGACAGTCTGCCGCGGGAATCAGAAGGACCGCGGAATATGATGCCAGAACGCTTTTCGAGGTCCGAAACGCGCGAAAGAAACCGCGGTCTGTTTGTAAAATGTCTGGCAATGCGAGCGCGCGGAACTTCGCGATTCGGTAGCTCAGTTGGCTCCAGGCACTGCGCGGTATCGTTTCGGAATTGCGCAGGGATCGTTCGGGATATTCTTGTCATCTCAGTACAACCCAACATGTCAAGTACTCTTTGACTTTGGCAGCCCAGCTGAAGCATCGCTGCTTTTAAGCACCGTTCCAGCTCAAGCAGCACAACTTTTCAGTACGCGGGTAGTACACGAGTAGGGCTTCATCCCATGACAACACAGAACCTTCCGCGAAACTTCCGCGCCTTCGTATTTAGTCCTTACAAAAAAAGCCAGGGGGTTTGGCCGATCCGCATGTATTTCTTGCTTTCTTTCTCTATTCGTTCTTTCCTTTGTGCGTTCTTCCTTTTGCATTCATTTCTCTATCGCTTTCATTATTTGGGTGTTTGGCTCTCCCTTTATTTCTTTCTTTCTTTCTTTCTTTCTTTCTTTCTTTCTTTCTTTCTTTCTTTCTTGCTTTCTTTCTTTCTTTCTTTTCTTCTTTCTTTATTTTCTGCGTTCTTCCTTCCTTCCTTCCTTCTTCCTTCCTTCCTTACTTCCTTCCTTTCTTTCTTTCTTTCTTCCTTCCTTCTTTCTGTATATATGTCTTTCTTACAGTCATGCCCTCTTTCCTTCCCTCCTTCTTTCTGTCTTTCCTTCTGTCCTTCTTTCATTCCTTCTTTCCGTCTGTCTTTCCTTCCTGTTCTCCTTCTCCCTTATTTGTTGGTCATTGTTTCTTCTTCGATTCCGTCCTTCCTTCCTTCCTTCCTTCCTTCCTTCCGTCCTTCCGTCCTTTCGTCCTTGTGTCCTTCCGTCCGTCCTTCCGTCCTTCCGTCCTTCCGTCCTTCCGTCCTTCCGTCCTTCCTTCCTTCCGCCCTTCCGCCCTTCCGTCCTTCCGTCCTTCCTTCCTTCCTTCCGTCCTTCCTTCCTTCCTTCTTCCTTCCTTCCTTCCTTCCTTCCTTCTTTCGTTCCTTCCTTCCTTGCTTGCTCGCTGTCTTTCTTGATGTTTCTTTCTGTCGTTCATTATGTCCTTCTTTCTGTCTTTCTTTGTTTCTTTCTTTCCTGCTTTCTTTCTTTGGTTGTTTCCCTTTTCCTTCCAAAGTTCATTGTTTACTTGTTTCCTGACTTACTTCGTGTATCAATCCACCAGCTCATCGCTCAATTCATCCAGAACTCTACCACATCTTCGGCCAAGCAATCCATCTTTGAGTCAAGCTAGCTGCGCATCATCGCGTCAACCTCCTCATGCATTGCCCGTCAACCATACAATCAACCCCTCAGCCCAGCAAACCATCATCTCACATCCTAGCTCCTTCGGCCTGAAAATCTCAAGCGCTGCTTTTTCCACTGAGTTTCCCACCAAAACATCCTCAACAGCCTCACCCCTTTGCCTCCGGGTGTCGATGGAGGAAAAGCTCTGCTCCCGAAGGCGCTCGGTGAGCCTCGGGAGCACGCGCAAGTTCGGCCCTTCAGCCCTTCTTGCAAGGCGGGGGATGGTGAGAGAGAAATACCGTCTATGTATGTGACACCACATACCGTCCCATACCCTAGATTGAGACCATAGTCGCCGGCGCCAGCAAACAAGAATCCACAAAGGGACTTACCAGCCCTCGGCTTCGCCTAACCAACTTCAATTCGATCAGACCGCCACCTTCGACAGCCACGGACTGCCTGCTTTCCAGCATGGCATCCGCCTTCTGGAAGCTTCCAACCTCACGGTGTTTCTCAGCTAAGCCGCCACGCTTCAACCCCGGACTTCGCACCGAATACTAATTGAAGTTGAGCCAAGGCCAGAGAATAAGAGAGAACAACTCGACAATTCCTCGGGGTTTGCTTGACACGCCTTGGCTGAAAAACCAAGTTGCGCTCTTCATTCGTGGTGGCTGCCTTTGTTTGCGCGCCTCGAAACTCCATGCCTTTCGTGGCAACACTGTCACCTCGTGAAACCTTCTTTTGATCCTTGAATCTGCCTCGGTTTATGTGGCTTGATCTTGCTTTGAAACGAGGCAAAGAGGAAGGGCCAGCCACCACGTGGCTTGATCCTGTGTTAAAGCGCCTAGTAGTCCGCCGACCCTTCTCCCAAGGGGAGGCGCACGGGAAGGGTGGCAACAAGATCGTTTTTTCGACTTCAATTGTAGCTCCGATTTGAGATGCAAAACATGCGTGGACATGCTAAGCAAAAGATGCGTGGACATGCTTATCATGATGCCTCCTGGTGATGCTCAGGATGCGTCTTGATGCTGATCTTCCGACTCGTCATCACTATCATCATTAGTCATCGGCATCTCTTTCTACACTATACATTTCAGGTGTGGCGATAGGCACCATTGGTGATGCAGAGGATGCGTAGTCATGAGTATCATCATGTCTGCTCGTGATGCTCAGGATGCGTCATGAGGATTACCATCCGATTGGAGATGCAAAAAACGCACGGACATGATTGTCACGATGGTTGCTGGTGATGCTCAGGATGCGTCATGATGATTACCAGCCCAATTGAAACGCAACAGCTGCGTGGACATGATTATCATGATGGCTCCTGGTGATGCTCAGGATGCGTCTTGACGCTGATCTTCCGACTCGTCATCACTATCATCATTAGTCATCGGCATCTCTTTCTACACTATACTCTTCAGGTGTGGCGATAGGCACGATTGGTGATGCAGAGGATGCGTAGTCATGAGTATCATCTCGTGATGCTGATGCTCAGGATGCGTCATGATGATTATCAGCCGAATTGAAACGCAACAGCTGCGTGGACATGATTATCATGATGAGCGCTGGACTGTTACATGATTATCATGATGACTGCTGGACAGTTTTCATCACAGTCATCCTCCTTGTCACCCTCGTCGTCAATATCATCATCATCATCGTAGTCATCCCCATCTCTTTCTACACTATACATTTCAATGCAAGTCTGGCGTTAGACAGCATTGGTGCTGCAGAGGGTTGTCATGATTATCATCATGACTGCTGGTCATCACCATCATCATCGTAGTCATCACCATCTCTTTCTTTGCTACACATTTCAAGTGTGGCGTTAGACACCATTGGTGATGCAGAGGATGCGTAGTCATGATTATCATCATGACTGCTGGCGATGCTCAGGATGCGCCATCATGATTACCGTCCGATTGGAGATGCAAAAGATGCATGGACATGATTTTCACGATGACTGCTGGCGATGACTCAGGGTGCGTCATGACGATTATCAGCCGAATTGGAATGCAACAGATGCGTGGACGTGATTTCCATGATGATTGCTGGACTGTTACATGATTATGATGATGACTGCTGGACAATTATCATCACAGTCATCATCCTTGTCACCCTCGTCGCCAATATCATCATCATCATCATCATCAGCATCATCGTCATCGTAGTCATCACCATTATGCACCACATTTCAAGTGTGGCGTTAGACACCATTGGTGACGCAGAGGATGCGTAGTCATGATTATCATCATGTCTGCTCGTGATGCTCAGGATGCGTCATGAGGATTACCATCCGATTGGAGACGCATAAGATGCATGGACATGATTTTCACGATGACTGCTGGCGATGCTCAGGGTGCGTCATGATGATTATCAGCCGAATTGAATCGCAACAGCTGCGTGGACGTGATTACCATGATGATTGCTGGACTGTTACATGATTATCATGATGACTGCTGGACAATTATCATCACAGTCATCATCCTTGTCACCCTCGTCGTCAATATCATCATCATCATCATCATCATCATCATCAGCATCATCATCGTAGTCATCACCATCTCTTTCTATGCTACACATTTCAAGTGTGGCGTTGGACAGCATTGTGATGCAGAGGATGCGTAGTCATGGAATGCAAGTGGACATGCTTATCATGATGACTGCTGGTGATGCTGAGGATGCGTCATGATGATGATAATGGACAAACCTGGTTGATCCTGCCAGTAGTCGTATTCTTGTCTCAAAGGTTAAGTCCGCGTGACGCTCAAGATGCGTCATGATGCTGATTTAGTCCGCGTGACGCTCAGGATGCGTCATGATGCTGAGTTTCCGATTCGTCATCAGCCTGAGGAGAGAATCAAGCAAGGTGTGTCGCTTGGCTCTGAAGAAGTGAGTTGGGAAATGATGAGTGCGCCCCTCTCTCTCTCTCTCTCTCTCTCTCTCTCTCTCTCTCTCCAGGGCGTAGTCGTTGGTCGCTTATTTTCGCGCTCCCTGCGCCGGCCTGTGTGTCCGCCACGCGGGCTGGATGGGTGGACGCGATGGATGGAATGGATGCGGTGGGCGGGTGGATGGGTGGATGGATGGGTGGGTCCGTGTGATACATGGGATGGAGGAATGGATGGGATGGCGCACACGCACACACACACACACACCCACCACCACAGCCACCTACCAAACGACGCAGACACACCCGTCCACACCCACCCACCCACCCACACCGCGCGGCAGCCGCGCGAATGATGGCAATGCAGCCGGGTTGCTGCATATTTACAGCGTGTTCAGCCTTCCCTCAACTCGAGCTCCAGTGGCCGCGCGGGTGGCGATGATGCGCCAAAGGCGCTGGGAATGCAGACCATGCGAGGGGTCGGCGGCATTGCGTCTCTCGGAAGGCAAAGCGCATGCGCCCCTTTGGGCGACATTGCACGGCGAGGCCGGATTTACACGCTACGCGATGCAGCCGGCCACCGAGAACCCAGCCCGTCAGGCCCGTTCCTGCACCCACCCACCCACCTACCCACCCAAGATTCTAAGACTTTAGTAAGTTCAAGATTTTAAGAGTTTTAGATGTGAATATTTGAGATTCTATTATGGTAAGATGTTGAAATTTCAAGATTTGAAGGTTTAAGATTTCAAGATTTCAAGATTTCAAGCCAGGCCATTTTCCATACATTTTAAGATTCAAAGATTTTAAAGCTTCAAGCATTAAAAATGTCCAGGTTTGAAGATTTTCGGAAATTAAGATGTTAAGATTTTAAGATCTTAATATTTCAATAAGAATCTAAGAGTTTTAACAGATTCTAAGACTTTACGATTTTAAGGTTTTAGGGCTTGAGGAAATATAAGATTTTAAGAGTTTTTCCAGCTCTTGTCCACCCATGTTCCATCAACTTTCCATCCGTGTTCCATCCGCTTTTCATCCGTTTTCGACCCAGGTTCCCTGAATTTATTTTTTATCGATTTCACTCAACAGGGAAAGAAACACAGCGAACCAGAAACCGGGACCCTTACTAACCCCAGTCCGGTAGGCGAGCGCAAACCCTGGTTTTGATCTGATGGGCATCTTAAGCCAAATGGTCATTGCCATTCGACAAGTCCATGCAAAGCAAAGGGGCCTCCAACATCACCCAACATCACATACACGCACACCCTTCTGGGGTACCTCTGTGGGGGTCAAGAGGTCGTGATTATTCAACTCCCCCCTCCCCGCGCTCACTAAAAGACTTGTACTTTACAGTCGCGCTTGAGCTGCGACCTATGTGATGCAAGGTCCTTTACCAGACCGTAAGGAGGGCTTACCTATGATTTTTGCACTTTTGTTACTGCTTGGTCATCTCAGGCCGGACATCTTTCAGCTTTTCAGGCAAATTGGTCCTGATGCCTAAAAGCTTTAGTGCGTGATCCCACTTAAAGGGCTGCAGTGCCTTCGTAAAGATATCGGCTGCCTGGAGATCAGTAGCTACATACTTGATTACTACACCCGTGCCGGGTTCAAGTTGCTCAGCAAGTGCGGACAAGTTCACTTTGTGAGTGCGCTGTATGTGCCGCATTTTTGGGGAGTAACCTTTCTTGGCAACGAGGATAGTGGCTTGGTTATCTTCGTGCAGCACCAGCTCAACCGGGCGTCCAAGCAGACGTTCCCACAAGGTCAAAGATGGAAGACCCTCTTGATACAAAGAGAATGTGAGCGAAACGACCTCGGCTTCGGTGGTGGATCTCGTCTGTCGTTTGCTCAACCACGCCAGAGGAAAATGGGTGTTCGGTCCTTTGAGGACCAGGAAGCCACCGGACGTGGACTTCGCATCCCTTTCTCCAGCATAGTCGGCATCCGCATACAGAGCGAGGTGAAGATCTTGCGGGTTGTCCTTTATGACTCCTACCAACCGGTAGTGCGTAGTCGAGTGGATGTACGCGATAAGACGGGCAAGCTGTCTATCATGGTTGCGAGACCACTTCTGCACGGCGGTTGCTAGGTCACCTATGGGCTTGGACGCACTAGTCGTCCCAGAAAGCCTTCATGAGGAGTTTGCAAGCGTTTGGGGCTAGCTCACCAGCTGACTGATTATCTTCAGGAGGAAGCGATCCGCCTGGACAGAACGGAGTAGTTACCTTCCAGAGCTTCTCGGGCTGAGTGCCGGTTATAACAAAACAGTTCTACAGTTTGACGGGCATAGTCATTCATGTCAAAGGCAACGGCACCCTTTAATGCGCTTACAGCTACATTCAGATCATGCTCTTGAGGTTCTGCGGGGCCATCTATAAAGACATGATTACGCCCGAGCACCCGAAAGATCGGCTCGGGAGGCTCTACATTTATCAATTTTGTAAGCTTTTCCCAAAAGGCTTCATGTGCATCTGCGGGACCCGAAAGGGTCAAGTCATCGACCTACCCCTTTAAAGTAAAAGTTTCCAGGAAACTCTGGGATTCCTCTCCTCCCAGCTGCTTGAGCAGTTTCTTAAGGTGTGCCTCCCACAGACCTCCTGTGTCAGGGTGACC